AGTGAGGGGCCCGGGTAACGCAAAAAAAAAAAAAAAAAAAAAAGGCCATTGGGATTTTGATGGAAATGGCATTGAATCTGTTTATTGCTCTGGGCAGTATTGCATCTTAACAATATTAAACCTTCCAGTCTATAAACACAAGATGTCTTCCCAGGTATTTAGGTCTTCTTTAATGTCTTTCAGCAATGTTTTGTAGGTTTCAGTGTACAAGTCTTTCACCTACTTGGTAAAAGTTATTCCAAAGTATTTTATTCTTTTTGATGCCATTGTAAGTGGAATTATTTTCTTAATTTCCTTTTTGGATTGTTCACTGCTTTTTGGACTGTTCATAGTGTATAGAAATACAACTGATCTTTGTGTGCTGATCCTGTACCTGGCAACTTTGCTAAATTTGTTTACTAGCATTAATAGTTACTCAGTGGAGTTTTTGAATTCTCTATATGTAAGGTCATGTTATCTATGAACAGAGATAGTTTTACTTCTTCCTTTTCAGTTTGGATATCTTTTGTTTCTTTTTTTTTTTTTTTTTTGCCTAATTGCTCTGGCAAGGATTCCACCGCTATGTTGAATAGCAGTGGTAAAAGCTGGCATACTCTTCTTGCTTCTGTCTTAGGGGGAAAGCTTTCAGTCTTACACCATTGAGTATGATGTCAGCTCTGGGCTCTTCGAAAACATCCTTTATCACACTTAGGAATTTTCCTCTATTCCCAGTTTGGTGAGTGTTTTATCATAAGGGGTGTTGGCTTTTGTGAAATGCATTTTCTGTGTCAGCTGAGATGATCGCGTGGCCTTTTTCCTTCGTTCTGTTAATGTGGTGTATTACATTGATAGATTGGGTAGCTCTGATTTTACAAGATAAGCTGGAAATATGAATTCCAACGGGAAATCTTCTTTCTTTGAAACGATAACATGCGTAAAAAAATTGCACGGGCCAAATCAAAGTCAGCTGAGAGCCAAATTGTCTCTGGGGCCACCAGTTTGAAATCTCTGATCAAGAAACTTAAACATTATTCTGCCCTTTGCCTTAGGAATTCCACTTCCAGGGATCCATCCCGAAGAAGTAATCCAAAATACAGGCAAAGTTTTAAACCTACACTTGAGTGTCATTTTTATTTTTATTTTTTTGCGGTACGCGGGCCTCTCACTGTTGTGGCCTCTCCCGCTGCGGAGCACAGGCTCCGGACGCGCAGGCTCAGCGGCCACGGCTCACGGGCCCAGCCGCTCCGCGGCATGTGGGATCTTCCCAGACCGGGGCATGAACCCGTGTCCCCTGCATCGGCAGGCGGACTCCCAACCACTGCGCCACCAGGGAAGCCCTTGAGTGTCATTTTTAAAGCCTGAAGTCGGAAAGTTCCTGAACACCCAGCAGTGGAGGTCTAAGGGTGCCGTGTTTGCCAGGGAACCGGGCTTTACCGCCACTTCAGGGAGGTTTTTATGAAGATGGGGGGCCAGCAACAGACCCAGGCGAACAACCTTTCTTTTTGGCACTTTCTGCATTTGATTCACATTTGAAAACATTTGAATCTCAGGAGCGCATTTCCATACACCAATTTCCATTTTGCTGCTTACGTGGTCCACCTCCGTTTGCTGGTGGGTCATTATACATTAATTGCTTTGGGCAGAAATCCGTCCCTCGGCTCCAAACATCCCTGTCCTTTATAAGCACTCGAAGCAAAAACCATCTGGATTGTGGTTTTTGGCGTGACTGGCCGCCAGGGACCCACACCTGTTTAAGAATTAAACACCAAGTACAACAGTGTCCCCTCTGTGCTGATTTTGGCCATTTAAACTGTAGCCTTAACACTAAGCGGCTTGGATAGAGGCTGGCCTTGAGATTTATTACTTTATGAAACGTGCCACACCACAGAGACCTGATAGTTCTTTCCGTGGGTTCATCCTGTAAATCCTGAATTCCATTTTGAGTATTCCAGGTCTAGGTATCCATGATGGTGCCTTAATAAGAAAAAAAAAAAATCCTGCTGCAGTTTTCTGTTTTTTTTAAAAATTTATTTAGTTTTGGCTGCGTTGGCTCTTCATAGTGGTGCGCGGACTTCTCACTGCGGAGGCTTCTCCTGTTGCGGAGCACGGACTCTGGGTGCGCGGGCTTCAGTAGTTGTGGTGCGTGGGCTTCAGTAGTTGTGGCTCACGGGCTGTAGAGCGCAGGCTCAGTAGTTGTGGCACACAGGCTTAGTTGCTCTGGGGCTTGTAGGATCTTCCCGGACCAGGGCTCGAACCCGTGTCCCCTGCATTGTCAGGCAGATTCTTAACCACTGCGCCACCAGGGAAGTCCCCCTGCTGCAGTTTTAATACCAAAGTGGGGATGGCCCATTCCTGCTGCATAAGGATGGGGCAGGACGGGGCAGGGGCTCTGACTCCCCAGAGTTGTGCTGGGATATCGTTGTAGAGGTGAGTGTAGGTGGGAACATGCTTCCCAGCCAGCAGGTTCAGAGCAGTGCGGTGCAGACCCCACCCAGCGGCCCACGTGCTCTGCTGGGCGCGGAGGACAGGGGCTGGTCCTGGTGGTGGTCAGGGAAGGCTGCATCAGGGGCCTCTGCTGAGTTCAATAGAATGCACCCAAATTCACGTCCCCCTGGCCTGTGATGTGGTCTCATTTGGAAATGGGGTCTTTGTAGATGTGATCGAGTTAAGAATGAGGCGTACTGGATCCGATGACTTATGTCCTCACGGGAAGAGGGGAGCGAGGACGCAGATGCACGGGAGGCGTCGTCCTGTGAGGACTGAGCAGAGGTGGAGCAGGGGGCCGCCACCCCCGGGAGCTGGGGAGCCCGGGAACTCCCTGGCCCCGGATTTCGGGGAGGGGGGGCTCTGGGCTCGGCCCTGGGAGGGATAAAATTCTGTAGCTGGCACCCCCGGGTTGGGTTGCGGAACCGCACAGACCCCGCCCGCACCCGCAGGAAGCCCGGCCCTGAACGCACCCGCGCGCCCCCCCCCCCGCCTCCGCCAGCAGGTGGCGCCCCGCCCGTTCGGCGGCCGCGCAGCCCGGGTGTGGCCTGTGTGGCATGAGAGTGGCGTCCGCGGGGCTGGGGTGCGCGGTGCCGGCTCCGCCCGGGCCACCCTGATGCTGAGGCCCGTGTCAGGGCCCCCCGACCTGATCCACCTGCGTGAGGAGGGGGGGTCGCCGCTGCGAGGGGAACCAGTCCGCCGTCCTCCCTCCGGGCCGGCCGCCAAAGGACACCGGGGTTCGGGAAGGAGCGCTCGGAGTCTAAAGTCGGGCGGAGCCAGGCCCAGCTCCACTCCCGCAGCCCACCCCAGCGCCCCCGCCACCCCAGCCTCAGTTTCCCTGGTGACACTGGCCTGAGCTGCGCTCCACGGAGCTTGTGCACGTGCGCGGCTCTGCCCACAGACCCGGGCCGACAGCAGAGGAACCTCTGCAGGTGGTCTTGGTTTTTATTTTGGGGGGTTGTTGTTTTAGTATTTTTATTGTGGTAAAACATACGTAACGTCACATTTACCATTTTAAAGTGTACAGTTCGGTGGCATTAATGTTCACGTTGTTGTACAGCCATCACCGCCATCATCTCCAGAAATTATTCATCTTCCCAAACTGACACTCTGTCCCCATCAAACCCTCACTCCCCACCCCTCCCCCAGCCCCCGAGAACCACCCTTCCACTTCCTGCCTGTGTGGATTGGGACTCTAGGTGTCTTACGTAAGTGGGATCGTGCAGTACTTGTCCTTTTGTGCCGGGCTTGTTTCACTCGGCAAAATGGCTTCAGCTTCACGGGTGTTGGAGCCCGTGTCTGAATCTCCTTTCTTTCCAGGCTGAATGATATTATTCCGTTGCATGCATAGACCACACTTTGTTCATCTGTGGACAGACATTTGCTTGCTTCCACCTTTTGGCTGCTGTGAATTGTGCTGCTCTGAACATCTGTGGGCAGGTACATGTGGGAGGCACCTGTCTTCCCAGGGCCTGCCTCTGAAGGGCCCCCGGAAGTGTGGGTGCCGCCATCGTAGGACAAGCACACGCTCTGGCATCAGGTGTGGCCTGTGTTTGCAACGTGCGTCCCACGCCCGGGCTGGGAGAGCATACCCGGATTTGCAGCTCATTCATCCTGCAGGCGCCCGGCTGAGCTGAGAAGGTTTCTGAGGCAGAACCACCTGTGCCTGCCACTCTTCTTCCTAAAAAGGCACCGCGTTCAAAGAGCTTCTCCAGAAGAAAGGCAAAGAATCTGTTCACCTTGAAACCTCATCGCTTATGGTCCTTAAAATCATGCACACGTAATATTTATGTAACTGTGTTCACGTGACACATAAAGGCTTCCAAGCTGCCTGGTGCGTTCAGGGGCAGAGAAGGAGGGAGAAGACGTGAAGATCTGCTGTGCCTTGTCTGTCCACAGCCCAGCAGTCCGAGACCAGCTGGGGGACGGGCACTGACCACTCAGCGGCTGCACAGCGTGGGCCTCCACTCTCGCACACCAGCAGGATTTTCACTGCCTCCTGGAAAGCAAAGCCAGCCAGTGGAGAGGCAGATGTTGGCTCAGGACAGAGACAAGCTTTCAAATGACTAGAGAAGTGACCTTGAGAGGTGGTGAGCCCCGTGTCCCCAGAGGTATGCAAGTAGAGACTAAAAGACCATTGGTGAGGGATACTATGACAGGCAGAGAACGGGGGGTGGTTCTTGGAGGACTCGGTGGCCCAGCAGTGTTGATGCTTCTGAAGGAATGGTGTTCGCCACGCTGCCTTGACTCTACAGAGCCTTGGGAGGCAGCATCCACCCGGACAACAGCAGAGCAAATAACGGCACGAGCTGCTGCACGAGGGCCCTGTAGGGAGGGCCTCCGAGGCCTGTGCTCCTGGCAGGAGGGCTGTGTTAAGAACGTGGATTCTGGAGCCCAGGAATCTGGGTCCAACCCCTTCGTGAGGCAGGACGGGACCCAGGTGGAGGATGTTTTGATGGAGGTGACAGTGAGCCTTTCCCACAGCCGGGAAGGAAGGGCCTCCACTCTAGACAGTCCTGTCCTACTTGAACCATCACCACCACTGTCATCATCCCTGTGGGAGTCTGCTGTGTGCCAAATACTATTTCAGTAACTCACTGAATCCTCCCCAGCCCTCCATTCTAAGGAAATGGAGGCCCAGAGAGGTTCATTAACTTGCCTAAGGTCACACAGCGGATCAGTGGTAAAATCCAGTAAAGCTGGGATTTGTGGGGGCTCCAGCTCTGCGTGCCTGTGCGCAAGCCGGCTGCCTGCAGCCCCCACCTCCGCTGTGATGGGACCCACAGCCCTTCGAGCCCTCTGCCAGAGACACCTCCTTGACCACAGGCTGCGTCAGTGATGAGTCACCTCCTTCATTCCAAGGAGGAGCTGGTTCCGGCCTGGTTACCGCTGGGGTCCGCCCGCAGACCTCTGCAGCCTGTCTCCTCCCAGAGCCCCTCGCCAGTTGTCGTCACCCGCCTTTCCGCAAGCCCTCTCTTCGGGAGCTCCCGAGTTTACACACACACACGCTATGGTTATTTCTTAGATTGCCTGCTTCCTGGCGACATCGTGGGGGACGGTGACCGGATGAGTCTGAGGCTCACCCCGGGAGGAGCACCTGGGGCAGGCACCCCCATCTGGAGGGCCAGCTCGGGCTTTGCCTACATCAGGCATGAGCAAGCGAGGGATGTACGCTCTGGCAGTAGCCTGGGTCTTCAGTGACCTTCAGGTCAGGGGCAGCCTCCCAGCTCTGACACTTGAACAGGCCACGTTCCTTCCTTGGGCCTCAGTTTCCCCCCCGGACCTCTCAGGGGTGGATGCGGTTAATGCTCGCCCACACCCGCCGGGTCCCTTTCGTCAGACCCATGCGTCGCCCGAGCTACCGTGTGTGCTCACCTGCAGGGCTCACTCCTGCACCCTGGCCTGGGCTCCTGGGGCGGAGCCGCTGAACTGTGGGTGGCCCCCCATCCACCCCTGTCCTCAGCTAGTGACTGACGAGGGCTGGAGTTGAAAGCCCAGGTCCCACCTCCTTCCCCGAGATGGAATTTATGCCCTGAGCCACCTGCAGCATCCAGCTGGGGTGGGGCTTCTCCTGAATAAACCACTCACACCAGTACTTGTCGGTGGGCTCCTTCCAGAATCAGCCCCCCACAGAGCTTGAGCCCACCTGACGTGACCCTGTAATAGAAGCTTCCTTATTGCTTATCTCGGAAAGCACCTGTGGTTAATAGGCTCTGGTGTTTACCTGCCGTTCTGGAGGAGAGGCCATGCCCCTTCCCGAGGGGCACCGCGTGGCTCTAACGAAGCGGGAGAACCAGCAACACCGGCAAAGCCCGTTTAAAGCACTTGGTTTTAGGGATCAAACTCACCTGCTTCTAGCAGTGGCTGGCATTGGAAAGTCCCTTGTCTCTCGATATCCCAAATAAGGCAGAAGGAAACTGGGCTTGAATGTTGAGCACAAGAGCCTGCTCATTGCCTGCGCAATATCTAATCTCCCCTTCTCTCAAGGTGACCAGGTGAGCAGCTAAGACTACCTTTCCCGCTTCCCTAGCAAACAGGTTGGCTAATGACATACAAGCAGAAGTTGTTGGGCAGGACTTCCAATAAAGCTCCTAAAGAGCTCGTGTGTGCTTCTCTTATTTTCTTCCTTTTTCTGCCTGCCTGGAACGTATACGTGATGGCTGGCCCTCCAGAGGCCATTTTGTGACCTTGAGGGAGGAGCCAAACTCTAACTATGGCAGAACAGAAAGAGGATTGAGGGTTCCCGATGATGCTCTAGAATTATCACACCTGTCCTGGGAGTCCCTGACTTCTTTGATCTGTGAGAATAAACCTCTATTTTATCTAAGCCCCTATTTCCCAGGTCTCTGCTACTTATAGCTAAATACAGTTTCTAACTAGTATAGATGTTACCACACATCTACAGTTTGTTTTTTTGTTTTTTTGTTTTTGTTTTTTTTTGCGGTACGCAGGCCTCTCACTGTTGTGGCCTCTTCCGTTGCGGAGCACAGGCTCCGGATGCGCAGGCTCAGCGGCCATGGCTCACGGGTCCAGCCGCTCCGCGGCACGTGGGATCTTCCCGGACCGAGGCACGAACTCACGTCCCCTGCATCGGCAGGCGGACTCTCAACCACTGCACCACCAGGGAAGCCCATGTCTACAGTTTTGATCCGAAGTGAAACAGGGTTCTCTCTTCCCAGTCTCTCCTTCACCAGGCCCTTCACCTGGCCCTGCTCACAGAGACTTGACTAGAAGGAGCAGGTGACCGCTCACATCACCGAGAAAACTACACCAACCCTGCGGCCCAGGACTGCTTAAGACAATCGGAGAATTGCACCTTCTAGCCTAGGGCCAGAGTGGGGACTTCCTGGTTCTGCACAGAAAAGGGGGAAACGAAAGTGGACACAATCCAGGGCTTTACCATCTCCATCTAATGAATGACAGTGACAGAGAGTCAAAGTGCCGGAGCGGCACTGTTCATAATAGTGGGAAAAACCCTGGGAACAGCCACATGCCCACGAGCAGTAAGATGGGTCACTTGTGTGTCTTCACCCGGTGGGCACGACGTCACTGAACGTCTGCTGCTGCTCGCGGAAACACACCTCTTGCAGGCGTGGCGTCCAGAGAAGACACTGGATACGGGTGACTGTCGGCTGTGTGATTTCATTCTGAACATGAAGTTCAAAACCCGGCAAAACCGATGTGCGGGTGGGAAATCAGGATGGCCGTTACCCTTGGGAAAGGCAGTAGTGGGGCGAAGGGGGCTCTGGGCTGTGGTCCCACAAGCATGGTCACTTTTGAGATTCAGTGAGCTGTATAATTACGATTTGTGCAAATGTCTGCGTGTGGGTTGAACTTACAGAGAATTGGTGGTGATGGACCCAGAGGAGGGAGGTGACCTAGTTTGGCAGATGTAACACAAAGCAGGCTCAACACGTGGTGGGGTCTCAATAAGTGGCATTACGACCCGAGTGGAACTTTCGGTGGAAAGGGCTGGGTGCTCCCTAAGGTGTAGGTCAGCTTTTTTTTTTTTTTTTTTGCTGCACCGCGTGGCATGCAGATCTTAGTTCCCTGACCAGGGATCGAACCCTCACCACCTGCAGTGGAAGCTCAGGGTCTTAACCACTGGACCGCCAGGGAAATCCCAACGTGGGTCAGCTTTGAAAAGGAGCCTCGCTCAGGAGAGGGGCCGTCGCTGTGGCACTTGGGGCGCCGTGGCCAGTGCAAGGTGGCGGGGGTGGATGGTATGTGCCTGGGCAGGCAGCCTAGACCCCCCCCCACACAAACAGCACTGGCGGTCCTTCCCAGCCCCCCACCTGAGAGGCCCAGCTTGTCTGTGGGTGATGGGGCCGGGGCAGTGGCAGGAAACCCCGTGTAGTACGCATCCTACATCCTACGCACGGCTCTACTATACACCTTAGGTCTCTTTACGATAATTGCCTAAGGTAGTTATTACCATTGCAATCAGAGTGTTAATCAGGGTTCTTTTGGTTGCAAGTGAAGAAAATCAACTCAAACGGGCTTAACGAGAGAGTAAGAGAGAGAAGGAAGGGGAGAAGGGGAAGGGGGAAGGGGGGAGGGGAGAAGGGGGGAAAGGAGGCGTCCACATAGATCCACCCCACAATTCGTAGCGGCTATGCGGTTTCCCATATTGTGAACATACTATCATTTATTCTCCTTTTGATAGAAATCTGAATTGTTACCAACTTGACGGAAGGCCGCGTGTGTGGACCTTTGCACAGCAGGGCAGATACTCCTCCCGGGCTGCTTCTCACAGCGGGCATCTGGGACAGAGGGGAGCACGCGCGCGGATCCTGTAACTCGGTGGGTGTGCCAGTGCCCACCGGTAGCTCTGCACCGTGAGGCTTTCACCCCAGGGCTCTCTCCCCACATCCTTGGTGATGTCCGAGTTTGCTTATCAGTCTGCACCAACCTGGTGGGCCCGTGGCATCTTGTCCATTTGCTCCTGCTTCTCTGCTCCCGGGTCACGTGTGCTCTCGTGTGTGTCTGACGGCCGGGGGCATTTGCGCACGTCGCCTCTTGGTGTCCTTTCCCGCATTGCGATTTGTTTGCCTGTTTCTTGCTGATTTGTACAGCCTTTTTACGTAGTGGATGTTAACCCTCTGTCCTGGTTGACTGGTTACTGACGTTTTCTTAGTTGATCATCTCACTTCCAGCCCTGTTGACGGGGGTTTGTGCGTTTGTTTTGCCCTGTGTTTGGCCTTTGGGAGCGTTTCACGCTCACGTAATCAGATGTGTCATTCTTTCCCTCTGTCATTTCTGGTTTCTGTATTAGGAATCCCCACTCTTAGGCTACATTCTTGGCCTCCCGCTTCAGACTGGCCTGCCATTCTCTCTAGGTTGACTCGCCCACATCCCATTCTCTCTGGCCCTTCATGGAAAGCCAGGTGGCCATTCTCTTCCCCCTGTTCCACAAGAGCAAACTCCAAGCACCCCGTCCAGGACCCTCCACCCTCCCGTCCACTTCTCTGACCCACCTTGGGGTCCACCTCTCACTTTCCTCCTCTCTGGAGCCTCAGAGCCCAGCCCGGTCGCCCCTCCCTGACCTGACAGCAAAGCTCAACACACCTGCTCACCAGCACCGCCCAGCCTGGGCCAGGAGTCAGCATGCAAGGTCATTATTTCTCCAGAAGGGAGTCATCGGGTTGTCCAGATGATTCGGGAATGATCTAGAATCACCTGTGGCTTTGCCCCAGGTCTGCCCTGCTGGTGCCTCCTTCCTGCCTTCTCAGCCCGAACTCCCCCGTGTCTGTCCCGCTGCCCGTGATGGAACACTTCACCTACAGACCAGGCTTGTCACAAGCTTGCGGACAGGAGTCCAGAGAAGCATGCCGTGCGAGCTCCTGCAGCGGGCTCTGTGGTCCTCTCCTCCCCTGCTGGCCAGAGGCAGGGTGCGTAGGGAGCTCGGGCGGCCTTGCAAATATCTCCACGGATGGAGCAGCTGTAGGAAAAAGGTCGCTGTCAATGAACCACATCCCGCCGGGTCGGCTCCCAGGCCGGGACCTGGCAGCCTCCTCGTTGCTCCTGGCTCCCGGGACCATGCCCGGAGCTCCTGGTGCCCGTGCCAGGGTGGCCTGCGTGGCCAGGAGCAGCGGTTCCCCTCCATGCCCTCTGTGGGCTCCGGAAGACCCCGCCCTGCAGGTGGCAGGCAGGGGGCCCCTGCAGCCATGGCCAGTCTGGTCCTCACCTTCCCCTCCTGTTTTCATTGGCAAAGGGCCCCAGCCGATGTGGTGGGGAGCCCCCTCTCAGGTGCGCCGGCGGGTGCCTGGTTCCCAGCTGCTTGGCAGCCGGCTCAGGTCAGCGCACATTTCTGCAGCATCCACTGTATCTTCTTGGTTCCCGTGGGAGATCTTGCGGAGTGCCTGCTTTTATTTCTTCTATGACCCCGACCCTTGCTTCTGCTTTGCCGAGTGCCTGCTATATGCTGGGCTCTCTTCTACGGGCTAGGGATGCAGCCTTGAGCAAAGATGTCACTTTGTGTCCTCCCGGAAGCCGGCAACAAGACGAGCTAGAAATGCAAGGAACATTGGGGGACCCCCCTGCAGTAAGTGGGAAGGGGGCCTGAGCAAGCAGGGGGCGGCCCCAGCCCACAGAGGAGTCTGTGGGAGGGCCAGCAGGGGCCTCGGCCAGGCCAGCGGTGCAGCTGGAGGCTGTCGGCTGACAGCACTTCTTGTGGCAGCGTCTCTGGAAGGGGCATTGCCTGCGCAG